CCCGTGTCCCCCCCCCTGTGTCCCCAGTGCCCCCTGCTCACGTGGGACTTGGACCAGTAGATGAAGACCTCCCCGACCATGCGGAACAGCTCCTCCGCGTCCTCGTTGGGCTCCGTCAGCCACTTGGCCCTGCCGGTCCCGTGGCCACCATCAGTGGGTTGCCGTGGCCACCATCAGGGGATGTCCATGGCCCCCATCAGTGGGTCCCCATGGCCACCATCAGTGGGTCCCCAGGGTCACCATCAGTGGGTCCCCATGGCCATCATCAGTGGGTCCCCAGGGTCACCATCAGGGGATGTCCATGGCCACCATCAGTGGGTCCCCATGGCCATCATCAGTGGGTCCCCGTGGCCACCATCAGGGGATGTCCACGCCCCCCAGTTTTGCCCCACGCCTTCTCCTTGGCTCCGCCATGGGTGGACCATGGTTCCCAAGGGATGCTCCTCGGCATCCTCGCGTCCCCACAGCCACGTCCCCCGTCCCCCCTCACCGGCTGTTGTCCACGTAGCGGATGAGCAGGGGGTAGAGCGCATAGAGGTCGCGGCAGAGGACGGAGAACTCGTCGCGGATGAGCAGCTCGGCGTCCTCCCCCTCCGTCTTGGCCTCCATGCGGAGCTGCTCCTCCTCGGCCACCACCTTGCCCGCCCGCTTCTTCAGCTTCTCCATGGTGGGGATGAAGTGGGAGCGCAGCAGCTCCGGCTTCGCCTTGCTGACGATGGGCTGGGCGAACACTGCGGGGACGGGGGGGCTGCAGCCGGGGGGATGCACCGGGGGACACCCGCACCTCCTCGGGACCACCCATGGCCACCAGCACCATCCCGGGACCCACCCGTGGCCACCAGCGCCATCCCTGATACCTTCCCAGGGCCACCAGCACCTCCCTGGGACCACCCATGGCCACCAGCACCATCCTGGGACCCACCAAGAGCCACCAGCACCTCTCCGGGACCACCCAGGGCCACCAGCATCATCTGTGGGATCACCCAGGGCCACCACTACCATCCCAGGACCCACCCATGGACACCAGCACCATCCCTGGGACCACCCATGGCCACCAGCACCATCCTGGGACCCACCAAGAGCCACCAGCACCTCTCCGGGACCACCCAGGGCCACCAGCATCATCTGTGGGATCACCCAGGGCCACCACTACCATCTTTGGGACCTGCCCAGGGCCACCAGCACCGTCCCAAGACCCAGCCAGGGCCACCGGCATCTCCTTGGGACCTACCCAGGGGCCACCGACATCACCCCTGGGACCTGCCCAGGGCCACCAGCCCCATCCTCGCCCACCTGCCAGGCGCTTCATCCAGGAGGCCTCGTCGATGCCCAGGTTGTTGACCACGATGCGGAGAATGTTGCCCAGGAGGGCGTTGAGGTGCTGGCCGGTGACGGCGGTGGCCCAGGGTCCCTGGGGCAGGGTGTCGGGGCCGCGCTCCCACCATCGGGGCAGGTAGTTGCAGAGCATGGGGAGGGTGACCTCGATGACGTGGGGCATCTCGGTGTAGCGGGCCCCCGACTCCGCCAGCCCCCCGATGTCCCGCATCAGCCGCTCCAGGTCGGGGATGTCGGGGCACATCTCCTCCACCCGGCTGGGGAGCCCCAGGACTGCGGGGACAGTGTCCCGAACAGCCGCTCCAGGTCGGGGATGTCGGGGCACATCTCCTCCACCCGGCTGGGGAGCCCCAGGACTGCGGGGACAGGGGGATGGCACCGGGCAGGGGGGCACCCCATGGCGAGGGGGGGCACCCCACGGCAAGGGGGGGCACCCAACGGCGAG